TCTTTTCGTAGCGTTGGTCTAAGTCCTTGAGGCGGAGAGACTGGAACCAGAGTGATTAGCCAGCCGTATTGGCGCTGCCATATGGCCTCGGTCACGTGGTTTGTGATGTAAGGGAAAAGAATCTTGGGGTCATGGGGCTTCTCCTTACCTAGATTCTATCTCTCCGTCATTGGCAGAATCGCTGATTAATGCCTACAGTTCAAAATAGTCATTTTGACTGACTGGAGTCTATGGTGGGTGTCACATGCAACGTAATGTTACCGTAATTGGTATAGTACAGGTGTGATGGTTCAAATACCAAAATGGCTAACAGTAACAGAAAGACTTCCCTGGCGGTGATGATAACATACAAACACGGAGCCAACAGATGGGGTTTCAACTGGTACTGGTATTATTATACTCTGCAAACATCAAGTACAATAACGCGGTAAAACTCCACTACTCCAATAACTAGATACTTAAACTCCAATACAATTCAACGAGATCTCCGATCTGAACTCAGTGCTGAACAACTCCCCTATATATACCCCCACTGTCTATAAATAGACCATTACATCAGCATACATAATGAGTCTGGAACTTACTACAAATTTCTAGAATGTTCCATTACCTTCTATTGCCTTCTACAGTGTTCTATTACCTATTCAACCAGTTTCTAAAAATCCAGAATATTCCACCCAGACACAGTACGGGTCTAGAACATTCTCAGTGACATGGAAGTGGTAAACAAGTCGTATGCGACAGTGGGTATGAACTATGTGAATATACCTAATTTTGTACATACATGTACCATGACCCTATACCGGTATTTTTATTCCATTTTCTTTATCCTCGTTACACAAAATATCAAATATGTAAAAATGAAGAAAATGACAATATATTTTTTTCTGTGTAGCATTCTACCTTAGAGGGAAAACCTCAAAACGTGAATTATTTGTGAAATAAAGCATCTCAACTACTATCCTCTGGGGGGGGGGAGCTACGTAACAGACGTTCTACGTTGCTAAGACGCGCACCACTGTACAACGTATTTCTATGGGCTTTGTGCGCGCTGCTGTGGAACGCCGGTGGAGCCGGTGAAAACTCGAGAAAACAACACAAACTCAACTTGGAAGTAATCCTGAACAACCAAATTCATATATGTTACACACGTAGGGCTAATCTTGTTACACTGTTCAGGGGACTCTCAACAACCATCGCAAAGTTATGTTTTTAGTCTTTGTTTTCACCGTGAGGGTTGTCAGGCGGTAGAAAATGCCTGGATGTCCCCCCCCGAGGATATGTACATGTAGTATGCCAGTATGCATAGCGCCACCAAGTGGCAAGATATTTACCTGTAGTTGCCAAGGCAGTTATGCATCCACATGTGTTACATTGAACTTCAAAATCACGTGATGTCATCAACTGAATTAATAATCCAACAGCACCACTCTGTATTATAACTAATTTATTGCTTTCTGAAAAAGAAACAATCAATGAAAAATTATTTTGAAAAACATTATATTCGGTTTATTTTTATGTAATTATTTTGGTCAAATATTAAATATACACTGCGAATGACAAATAAGCAGCATAGAACATTTGTTCTCATACTGGTAAATATGAACTGCTTAATTTTCACTGCTAGAAATTTTCAACATTTCATGATCGTACGGCATTTGTAAAGACAAAACTGTTACAAATTTTTACAATTTTCAGTCATTTGTCTTTTGTGAAAGTAAAGCAGTTTACATTAATATAATATTATGCATTCTGAAGACGTTTTTGCTGAACAGTAAGGTGAATTTATATGGATGATTTTAATTTGTTGATGATGCAATGTACCAAATTTCACTCCAATTCAAAAAAATTTTCGACAAATATTTTAATGGGTTGAATCTTTTTTATTGGTTTAAATGACTTCATTCAACAAGACTGTGTTATCATATACTGTAACATCCCAGAAAGGTATACAAAAAATGATCAAGTTGATTAGTGTATCTCAACAGTTGATACACGCAATATAACTTTATTGGGGTCTTGATTGGTTTTCTCTCTAACAGGACTGATTTTGTAGAGTTTTTGAAACTGAAAATTGGGTTCATTTCCAGAAATATTGAAGAATAAAAAAAAAGTGCACAAATTTGGGCGAGAAAGTCTGGTGGTGAAAAGTTTGAAATGAATTACTATAGTTTGTGAACAGATGTAAATTGCAATTGTCTGTCCTTTCACCTTTAGATGCAACTCAAATTTAGTGAGAAAACAAGCCTGCTAAACTATTTGAAATCACTAGAACAGTACCATCTGGTGAGCAGGAAGGTTTCTATTTTAGTAGACAATACATACCTGGACCATTGATAGCAAGGTTACTGACAGCGAGGGATGCTGCTCTAAAGTCTCTAAATCACTTGTCTGCAGCAATACAGCTAATGGTTCCATCATATTTATTGTAATTGGTTGCATTACTATGATTTATTAAGAAATAAACATACAAAGTCATTTCAATGGGTTACTATAATGTACATGTATTCAAGGTTGCCTCATTTGCATAATCTCAACAAAATGGAAAACATGGATGGCTTGGATGTATAGTCGACGAACCACAAGGCGATTTTTTAAAATTATGGATGAATTTTGCCGCATACATATAGGGTAATTGTATGTTGGATGAGACAAGTGTTCAAGACTTGCATATATAATGCATTGTAATTGGTGCCATATGCACATATTTAAATAGTACAAGTCAATTAAAAAAGTATTTATATAAATTTTATTGAAGATATTCTTCAAATCTAAATCCTGAATGCTCCAAATTATGTAAATTAAATTTCATTTTATGTTAAGTGGACGATAATTTATGCATGAAACAATAATTTATGCATGAAACAATAATTTATGCATGAAACAATAATTTATGCATGAAATAATAATTTAGGTAAAAAACATGGATTATAAAATATGGCTTGACCTTACATATAGTTGATATAGCCTCAATCAAAATTGACGAAATTGTAGACTGCAACCTTTAACTTATTGTAGACTGCAACCTTTAACTTATTCAAATAATTGTATAATTGACTTGCATATATAATGCATTGTAATTGGTGCCATATGCACATATTTAAATAGTACAAGTCAATTAAAAAAGTATTTATATAAATTTTATTGAAGATATTCTTCAAATCTAAATCCTGAATGCTCCAAATTATGTAAATTAAATTTCATTTTATGTTAAGTGGACGATAATTTATGCATGAAACAATAATTTATGCATGAAACAATAATTTATGCATGAAACAATAATTTATGCATGAAATAATAATTTAGGTAAAAAACATGGATTATAAAATATGGCTTGACCTTACATATAGTTGATATAGCCTCAATCAAAATTGACGAAATTGTAGACTGCAACCTTTAACTTATTCAAATAATTGTTACACCAAAATTCTGGTGCAAGATTTTACACATTTTTATGTACTACCGGTAGTATCTTTACATATTTTTGTTGGGAATTTTGAAAATTGAGACAAAAATAGCCCAATTTTTTTATTACAAACTAAATATTTACTAAAAATTTTTTTTTTTGGTTCCAAAATTAGGGTTTATTTCCAGAAATATTGAAGAATATAAGAAAAAAGTGCAGACAAATTTTAGTAAGAAAGTCTGGTTGTGAAAATACTTGTGTGTACTTACATTTTTCACTGATTTCAGCATAACATAATGCAGCAGATCTCTGTAGCTCTGTGTTCTCACTGTATGTCAATATCAACAATGCACATAACCTGTCTTCGTTATTGTAGTTTTCTCACCATTGTCTAGAAAAATAATTGAATACAGCACTCTTAAAATAGAAATTATATTGTGTGCTTCTCTCAAAATCAGTAGAAATCATTATTTATTTCATTAGTTTTAAATGCCAGAAAGTACTGTACAAGTTTATTGAGTGCATATGCACCTTGATATATCCAGGAGTGATGGTTGTGGAGTTACATGTATAACCATGGCAACAAAGCTTGGCTCATAGGAAAGTACTATAATCAAAGGCAATTGCAAAAGTATTAAAAAGCGCCACATGTCTGTCTTGGTATACTGTGCAAAATGTACACACATGACAAAATTACTATTTCAACTTTCATGAACTTAGGTCATCATTCATCAATACTAAACAGAGATGCCCCTGCACTGTAGGCAGAATTAGCTGACCCGAGATGACCAGGTTCTGATGACATCACATGGTAATGAAACCCATGGGACAACCTTGAGGCAAATTAGATATTCAAAAGTATTCGTCTTTAAGAGATTAAGACATTTCAGTAGCTATACATGTACTTTCATCAAGTTTACACCATAGATAAGTTTCTTGTGCCGAAATGCTAAAAAAAAAAATTATGCTGCACAAGCCTTAGCCTGATGGTTGCTGATAGTTATTGCGCCCTCACAAGGGATGATTATTGCTTCCTTTCTCATGCAAAATATGCTAGATGAGTGAATCCACTGACAGGGGTGCACAACTATTGCTCACCATGTCAGGCTACATTTATACATGCATTTTTTTTTTCTGATGTACTGTGGAATACTTTATTTTCGCTGGAATTAATTTTCGCTGAAAAGACTTTTTGAGCGTTTCGTATGGAATTTATTTTCACTGATTTTTGATGAGTTTAATGTGAAATATAGAAAAAAAAGTATATTCGCTGGATTTTATTTTCACAAAATCATTCGTTCAGCGAAAATAGCGAAAATAAATTCTAAGCGAAAATAAAGTATTCTACAGTATGTAATGACCAGAATTACTTCTGGGTAATTATCTCACCTTTATTTAAATAATTCAGGAGGTCATTAACAGCTCCTCGTTCACTTTCATGTAAAAGCGGCTCGTAGAGATCCCAATCAGTATGACTATTACGTGGTCGATAGCAACTACAGCATGGTGACAGAGAACATAGACAATCTAATAATACATCCATCCCAGATTAGATAATACACTCCCTGCAAACAAAACACTAAACTTTTAAATAATATTCAAAACTGTCAAAAAATATATCAAGTAAAATTTGATCTGTGATTCCAGTTTATAAAATTGTGAACAAATATTTCTGTAAATAACACTTAACGTGAAAGGCATTTTCTTATTAGTATGTGCCATTTATGCATATAATTGCACATCTCATATACTTTGTATCATTTTAATTATACATGGTATTCCCAGATTAAACCCGGTTTTTAATGACACATACAACATTAGATTCTCAACTCCAATGAAAAGACAAGTTAATTTCTGCCACTCACCGTGAAAGCCAATCATCGCGAAAGCCACTAATCGCGAAGCTACAAGTATGATATAGCATATATGATACGTAGCAAGGTTTTTGTCTAATAGATTACCTGATGACTAATTTTGATATTGTGTTTTTTGGATTTTTTCAACTATTGAAACATTATTTTTTTAACACTTTCAGTCATGCGAAGGGCCTGTGAAATACAGAGAAAGTTTGTAGCCCTGAAGGCTGGACGATTACATTTCTGTTTTTCTCTCTATATCAGTATTTGTTCATTATATGCATTATTGTCAATTGTTTTTAATAGTTGGAATAGTTAAAAAAACACAATAGCGAAATTAAACAAAAATTGGTACTGGTACTGCATATGCACTCTCGTTTTTGCATATATCAGAGTTTTGGGATGATATAATGGTTCTCATAATAGCATGCTTAAAAAAATAAAAACCTCTGTCTATTGTTTGTAGAATAATTATTTCAAAATTAAATTTCACCATTGCATCATCAACATAGATTACAGATTTTAAAAATGAACTCTATTGTAATTTTACTAACTCACATGGGACTTATTTTTAGCTGATTTAACAAATCAGCGAAAACAGCAAAATTTAAATATGTATTGGTAGAAGCAGCATGTGTCTTGTAAATTGCACTCAGGCAGTCTAGTGGCCTCATGCAATTTACTTGACGCTGACCAAAACAGTGGATTTCTTTCTATAAACCAACACTTTTATATGTACCACGCAAAAACTAAAAAATTCATGGAAGATTCAGATGTTACATATAATTTACATAAATCCTAACCTAGTCTGACATGTAGTGGTAGTAGCACCGGCCAAATGGCATCAGACTTCACTGTGTTGGGTTTGGAGCACAGCGGAGGGCGCAACTCACGTGACTCATCAGGCTAAGTCCTAACCAAGCTATGAAGTCTGATTTACAATAGCGGTTTACAAAATATTCCACAGTTATCTGTAGCAATTACACTTAACATATAAATGTGGTCGGTTTACAATTAGCATAACAACAAGGAAACATGTGTAGATTTATATATAAAAACAAGCAGCTAGAACAATGGGCACATGACCAAAAATGGTATAATTGATGTTTTACTGTAATTTGTAACTATAATGATATTCTAAGCATGCAATTATGCCGTGATTATATCATCAAAACAATCAGTAGGGGGATCTCCAGTGTACTTTAATTACATTTATCATCACTGACCTATCAAATATTTATTCAGTTATGAGAAAACTCACTACTGTAAAATCTGTATTAGAAGCCGCGGCTTCTATTAAAATGGTACAATGCAACCAAGGGAATGCGGCTTCTATTAGAGCATCTACACCTATGAGAAATGATGGTTTTTTGGTTCTCAATTATTCAAAAAGAATGGGTGCGACTTCTATTAGGGATGCGGCTTCTAATACAGATTTTACGGTACTCACAGAGAATAGATTACATTTGTATGATTTCAATATAAAATACAATTATTTACAACACAAGACAAGAACAAATCATGAAGTCAAAAATCAATAAAATTACTAGCCAAGAAATTGCTGAGTTTGCTTTAATTTTTATTCTATCATATTCATAGTTTTTTATAAATATTTGTACTTTTCTGCAAATTTGCTTTTTATAAGTTTATTTATCATCAACTAACAGTAAAGTCGGCATTATATCAGTCAATCTGATTAGCAAAAAATTAATGATGTGAAAAAAACAAATGAATAATATGATATTCTGAGTCAGTTTAAGTCAATCAAGCGTACAAGGTCTCTAAATGCTAGTGTAGATTAGAAGTTTTATGTACATTCATGTATACTTACAATAAAACAGTAATTTAGCCAAATGAACAGTAAAGTTACCATGACGACAAATTGAAAGTTGATATGCATCAACGATTAGGAGAATTCGTATCATCCAGCGACAGGTATCATCATGGTAATTCCAACCAGTATGCATTATCATATAAAAGTCACACATCTGCAGTTGTGTCAAAGAATGTACACGTGTACAATGCAGAATTTGATTACAACAACAAGCAGCGTATGATTGGTCTGAATGTTAGGTGCTTGAATTCGATAGCCAATCGGATACAGTCTTGTATAGTACCTTTGCATTGGCTCAAGATTCTGCTATTTTCATGGGTGGTGGTGGATGAGGGGTGGTTTGGGGGATTTGGGGGGGGGGCATGGTTGGGGTTTTAGTGGTAAAAAAATTAAGCTCCAATTATTCCCCAAGTATTGCAAGCAGTTGTCACAAAATTGCAAAATATGGCAAAAAATAATTAGAAGTATAATAACAAGGGTTTCCCACCAAAGAATTATAGAGAGTATGGCCCCCTACTCTATACTGTAAACCAGTAATTTTGAGAAAATCAAAATTTTAAATTATTCAATGAATTTCAATCACCATGTACATTGTACCTTTCAAGATTTATTTGCACTTTTCAGTGTGCAGGTGCATACTTTCGTGCCAGCTGAGTTGTTGATTTCTGTGCCAGCAGTTTCAGTTTGTGATTTTTTTAAAATTTCCCCAAAGAGAATAATATTGAAATATGTAAACTAGCAAGTGTAATGTGAAACCAATTTTTCACAGGCATTTAATTTCACTATTTGAGCCTTTTCAAACTACAAAAAATCGTGGAAAAACCATGGTTACTAAAAAACTAATCGTGGAAAACTCAACTGTGCTCTTCAAATTAGCACAATTCAGATTGTATTTATTGTATTTAAAGTAAATATCGTCAACCTCATGAAGGTTATATCAATATTATAAAGGAAACCTTTTATATACAAGTGTGACCCACCTACATGTAGTTGCTATGGGAACCGTGATATAAATACAAATCATATACTTAACCTGTTGATCTGAGTACCTATCACTTGATAAGGGCATATACAAATTGAATTCTTGTATAATCAATGGCCAAAAAAAGTTGTCTAGTAGGCTGGAGGATCACATCACAAAAAGTCCTTTCAGCAAAAAATTAATTCAAACTAAAATATTTAATTATGGATAAACAATAGGGCCAATTTATAACAATGAATATAATTTAGGTGTTTAGCATAATTTATTGTTATGTAATTTAGCTCATGGTAAAGTCAAACCTGTGTATAGTGACCACCTAAGGTGAGGTCAAACCTGTGTATAGTGACCACCTAAGGTGAGGTCAAACCTGTGTATAGTGACCACCCATAGTACAGTCAAACCAGTGTATAGTGACCACCCAAGGTATAGCCAAACCTGTGTATCGTGACCACCTAAGGTAAAGTCAAACCTGTGTATAGTGACCACCTAAGGTAAAGTCAAACCTGTGTATAGTGACCACCCATGGTACAGTCAAACCTGTGTATAGTGACCACCCAAGGTACAGCCAAACCTGTGTATAGTGACCACCCATAGTACAGAAAAATCTGTGTATAGTGACCCTCCAATGTATATTCAAACTTGTGATCACACAAAGGACTTCAGTGACTGTTTTTATAGATACAATGTAGGTGGTCTTTTATATAGTTGGATGAATTTTTATGGATTGCCAACTTGTACATTTGAAATAATACTAGTCCAGAAAGTAATCAGATAGTACTGATGCAACAAAAACACATTAATTTAAGTTGATCAAAATCAAATAATGTTTGATACAAAAAAATGACTCATAAACAGAATGCTAATTAATTAAATGGTGGTGAGGTCACATAAAACAGGTGATCTTTATACACAGGTTGACGTGCTCATATGATATGAGACTGCATAAAATTAGTCATCGTATGCAGGTTTGACTGTATTAACAATACATGTATAAGGGCAAACAGTTCTGAGATTATTCAACAACCAGCCTCAAAACGCTCACATCAGTTGAACTGTAAAATTATCCTTGTGCACTAACAATCGAACAGAGTGGAAATAACTGCTCCAATAAACATATCTTTACATGTGATAATTGGTAAAACCAAAGACTATAGTCTTTGGTAAAACCCAATTGTATGGAAAAACACCGAATTGCATTATATTAGTGCCCTTTCTACCCACAGCGGAAAAACGCTTATAGCTAAACAAATACATGTGTATATATCCTTTCTCTCCAAAGATTCACACGTTTGGACGTGCCAACATAGGCAACAAATGAAACCAAACACCATCAGACACCTGTTTTGTTAATCCTTTGTTATTGTGCAGCAATTGTTCATTACAACAGAAGTGGCACTCAGTTAAAGGCCCAGGTATACTATAAATACGCTCCTAAACAATAGGGATTATTTCCTTGCTTGTCACGCTGTAGTAAACAGCTCCAGCCAAGCTCCGGTAAAAACGTGTTTTCTCGAACTTACAGGTCGATTATGTCGTGCCAAAGTGGATGCATGTGACTATGAATATCACAGCAGTGACTGTGTGTAGTATTTATGACAATAAATTGTGTACGAGCTGAGATTTTGGCGGATAAAAGTAAAAAACATGAACCGGGGAAAGGGATGCGCGACTAATCTTTAATAATTACTACTGTCAATCAAAGTCACGTGATGTTGGACCGCTGAAACAGGATGCGTCATAGGCTACGCAAGTGATTAACACCATGCATTAGAATAGCCACACCTCCAATTCACACTTGCCCGGGGCAAGTGAATTGGGCCTTTAAACACAACTACATGATGAAATTACCATCATGCCATCTAGCTTACTGTGGTCCCCATCTATGTATAATATTACAGTAAAACATGTT